CATTCTTGGGCTTTGCTTCCTATTATAGAAAATTTGTGCCTGGTTTTGCAAAAATTGCCGCACCATTGCATGACTTGGTAAACAAAATGACAAAGAAACACAGTAAGGAGAAAAAGAAAGGTAAAACACAACTGATAGGTGAATTATGGACTGATGAATGCCTGAACTCGTTTAAGCTATTGAAAAAGGCTTTGACAGAGGCGCCGATATTAGGATACGCAGACTTTGACAAACCATTTCGGCTAGAAATTGACGCCAGCTCTAAAGGTCTGGGAGCTGTGCTATCACAACAACAAAAGCAAGGCTTCAGGGTTATTGCTTATGCCAGTCGAGCTCTGAAGGAATCAGAGAAGAACATGACAAATTACAGCGCCATGAAACTAGAACTTTTGACATTAAAATGGGCTGTGACGGAAAAATTCAGGGACTATTTATTAGGTGCTAAATGTGTGGTATACACTGACAATAACCCCTTGAGTCACCTAAAGACAGCAAAGTTGGGATCCATCGAACAGCGATGGGCAGCAGAATTGGCACTCTTTGACCTAGAGATAAAATATCGCCCGGGGCGGTCCAATGGCAATGCGGACGCCTTATCAAGGAATCCTTACGAGAGACCGGGCGATGAGGAAGAAACGCTGACAGGAATATGTGAGGTCAGAGCGTCAACAGATATCCCTCACGGGGTGCAAGTGAGGCAGAACGGACAGACCGGGGTGGAGCACATTTCCACAGAGCCCGGACATATGGACATTGGTGATTTTAGTTGCCTTAATCACAAAGAGATAAGAGATGCCCAGAGAACGGATAGTGGCTTACAGCCGCTGTTGAAACACGTCCAGGAACAAAAATTCCCAGGAAGAAGGGAAAGAGAACAATTTGGTCGAGAAACAAAGAAAATACTGAGTCAGTGGGACCGTCTCAGTATACAGGATGGTGTTCTCATGCGGAGAATTCATGACCAAATTGATGTGACAATACACCAGGTGGTGGTGCCTGGACAATTACGAGAAGAAGTGCTAAGGTTGGCACATGACAGGGCAGGACACCAGGGTCAGGACAGGACGCACAAAATATTACGACGAAGGTGTTACTGGCCCAATATGGAAATGGAGGTCAAACGCCATTGTGAGGCTTGTGTGAGGTGTCAGCATGCGAAAATGCCAGTTGTCAAAATGAGACAGCCATCGGGACACCTATTAGCGACAAAACCACTAGAGATTGTGGCTATGGACTTTACGTCGTTGGAGCAATCATCGGATGGGACGGAACATGTGTTGGTAATGACTGATGTTTTCACCAAATGGACTGTGGCGGTGCCCACACGAGATCAGACTGCCAAAACAGTGGCAAAGGTCTTAATAGAACATTGGTTCATCAAATATGGCATACCAAGACAATTACACTCTGACCAAGGAAGGGCCTTTGAGTCAGAAGTAATTAACCAACTGTGCAGCCACTACGGGATCAACAAATCTAGAACAACCACATTTAATCCGAAAGGAAACGGACAGTGCGAGCGGTTCAACCGCAGCATGCATGATTTGCTGCGTACCCTAGAACCTGAACAGAAAAAACGTTGGCCTGATTTTCTCCCAGAGTTGGTATATCTATACAACTGCACCCCCCATGCCACAACCGGCCTTTCGCCACACATGTTGCTGTTCGGACGGGAGGCTCGACTCCCCCTTGACTTGTTCCTAGGAAAAAAGGAGAGTATGACTGGCTCATACACTGCACTGGAATATGTGAATGAACATATGAGACGAATTAGAGAAATGTACAGGGTAGTACAGGAAAGACTAGAACATGAAGCACGGCGACCATCAATTCTTTCATGGTCGCGCTGGTATGAGAACAGACTGTTCAAAAAGTCATAAAAGTGAACTGGTGAAGGCACCAGACGAAAAAAGGTGGATGTGAATTCTAGAACTGTTTTGTATCTGAGGAGGATGATGTAGACACATTTGATATGTGAAATAGGGATAACGGTCAATCTTATACGAATGTGACGACATTGACAGTGAGTGGAACAATGGATTTTTTTTACGGTGGTGCGATTGACTTTGAAGGACTGCACCTGCCAAGCGTTGTTTGTGGTTGATAACACACAAAAAAAGGCAGGGGTGGATGTAACTAGGGGAAGTTACCAGACATAAGAAAGCGGTACAGCGCTGTCAACTTTGACACGACTGATGTAATAACACAGGTGGTGGCTGATAACGATCAGAAAGCCAGGGCGTAGTATCTCGGGAAGCGATACGAAAGACGGTCTGTCAACTTTGATGTGACAGGATGCAGATGGCTTATTAAATCGGACTGTACAACAGAAGCGGCGTAATGCAACGATTACGATTACGAGTATGATAGGACCGAATATGAGTACGATTATGAAGGGGATAAATAAGGAAGGCGACGGCTGAGCTCGCAGTCTCTCTCTCTCTCTCGCTCGCTTTCGATCAGTCAGTCTGTGTGGCAGTATCAAGTTGGTTATTGAACGGGTTAGCCGTATTGTGTTAAGACGGACGTTAGACATGTGTATTCAGTTAGATGAAGCCTAGTGAGGACTGTTGGGGGTCCGTTGATTCAGACTATTATTGTGAAACATCTCTCTTGATTCATTATATTATTGTGAAGCATTCTTTGATTCATGTAATAAAAGGATCAATAATGAACCTGCATCTTCGAGTATCTATGCTGTGGTCAATGTTGTGTGGAATGAGTGGTTAGACTCGGGAAGGTCACATTTGGCGTTGTCGGCAGGGTAGCCAGAGACTCGTTACATTTGGCGTTGTCGGCAGGATAGACTCGGGGACTCGTTACATATATATATATATATATATATATATATATATATATATATATATATATATATATATATATATATATATATATATATATATATATATATATATATATATCCCCCCGAAGAGAAGCCTGAAAGAAACACTGAACGGCAGTTTAGCGACACTAATGGGTGGTGCGTAGCTGACTATGCCGTATAGTGCGGGGTGGACAGATAATGATGGTGATGATGGTGGACAGTTAATGATGGTGTTGATGGTTGTGAAGAGGGGATATGATAACCACCGACCGTTTGTTTCAAATGCTTTTTTGATAGTATTTCACTCTTGTTATTTGATACACATAGGTGTGCGAAGCCTAGTCGCCATTACGTCACTGTACGGCACGTGGAGGTGACCACATGGCCGCCGTCTGGTCCACCGGTTGACACGTGGCATTAGTGCAGCCGATATGACACCATAGTTTTCGCTCTAGTATCATCACGATCTAGAGAGGCGGAATTGAGTGGACAAGCCAATATCTATAATATAATGCTGGTGGTAGTGTGTCAGTCCTTCTGCCATCGCTATAGACTTTGGAACCATAAAAGTAAACATCAAATCATGCAGTGCTTTTAAATTGCATGCATAGTCTTATTATAATCATAGAGAAGGGTTTGTTTATATAACGACTTAAATTTATTTTATAGTTGCCAGTTTTTAATCTTTCGCATAACGCGAAGAAAATATTAAATACACGCACATTGCTAAAACTTATTAAACGGATCAATGTCAAATAATACTATCGCTTAGATTCCTAGAAAAAGGGGATACATTTTAATAACAGTAGGGTCGAAAAACTAATTAATTAAAAATTTTAATAGTTATGTCAGGGGAGGTAATTTACAAATAAATTCAACTCTCAATAGTTTAATTTTTTTTTTAAATGACTACCGCATTGATTAGCATATGTTAAGGTTCATAATTAAAATAGATATATGTTAAGATTATTTATATTATTTTCTAATTAGTCGGCACAGGGTTTTATACATTTTTAAAAAAAAACTTTCTATGATCTCTCAAAATCACTAATTAAAAAAAAAATTTCGGTGTTATTTAAACGGATGGTGAAATTAGAGAATGCTGGAAAGGCTCTCTCTGGGCGCCGACGCCCAGGAAAGCGTGTTGTTCGGCGGTGATTCTAATAACATTGCCAAAGTGTTTTCTTATAACCATAAAAGTAAACACCACTTGCCGTACATTTACTTGCATCGCATTGTCTTATTGTAAGTTTTGGAGTAGGATCTATTTATGTGACTTACATTTTTGATTGTTAACGAATTTTTTACTATTTTTTTTTAGTTGTTGACAAAGTATCTACTCCTTTTACTCCTTTTCATACTATTGGTTTTTTTTTTTCGTGTGGGAAAGGCGGTCACTGGGCGCGGACGCTCAGGAAAGCGTGTTTTTCGGCGGTGCGTGTGTATGCACGGTCGTTTCATAAAGCCATTTGATAAAGCGTTTGTGTTTTGGTTTTTGTTTGAGTTTGCGTTTGTTTGCGTTTGTTTTCTTTTGTGTTTGTATTTGTGTTTCCATTTGTGTTGACGTTTGTGAGTTGCGTTTGTGTTTGCTTTTTCTTTATTGTTCGAGTTGTGTTTGCGATTTTGTTTGAGTTTGCGTTAGTATTGAATTTGTGTTTTCTTTTGTGTTGTTATTTGTCTTTGCGTTTGTGTTTACGTATTGCGTTTGCGTTGTGTTTTTTGTGTTTTTGTTTGCTTTTATTTGTGTTTGGGTTTTTTTTTCTTTCGGTACGTTTAAAAAAGATTCACCGTGGCGAAGCACAGGTATGCAGCTAGTTTGATATGTAATTGTATAGCTGACATCAGCTGTGTGTGGATCCTGTCATGGGATATGGGCGAATCCCATCATGGGATATTGGTGAGTCCCTACATGGGATATGGGCGAGTCCCATCATGGGATATGGACGAGTCACTTCATGGGATATTGGCGAGTCCCGTCATGGGATATGGACGAGTCACTTCATGGGATATGGGCGAATTTTTTATAATGGTGAATCACACAGTTGCTAATTGCTTCTCTCAAGTCTGAGCTGAAATAATTGCATGTTTGGGTCAGCGATATGCTAAATGCTACCATTGCTACCTGTAAAAGCTGCCTTTGCTACTATTTAAATGCCACCATTTCTACTTTCCACAGCGAGAGAAACATGACGTAACAAACCCAGGCAAGTGGACGGGATCAAGACGAGCTCAGTACAGCATGCACAAACAATCCTTCAGCCAGTCTCACGAGGTAACAGCCAGCACTTTCTCTTCTAGCTACCAGCTACTCTATAAACAGTGTAGATAACACAGGTGTAATCATCAAATGGTGATATAGTAGATAACACAGGTGTAATGATCAAATGGTGATATAGTAGATAACACAGGTGTAATGATCAAATGGACGAATTATTGTTAACAAAATTAACATAATATATATAGATCTATATAGTTATAAAGCGGCGAAAATCGTCAAAATTTTATTGTAATAGTGATTTTGACAATTTTTGACGTTTTACAACCAGAAAAACTTTTTTTGCAATCCCATTCGTCTTTGTGTGTGTGTGTATGTGTGTCTATAATCACAATAACTTGACTACCGTTTCAGTTATGTTGAACAAATTTAAGATACAAGTATTGTATCAAATTGGAAGTTTTCTGTCAACTTGCTGGTAACGGGAAGTGAGACATACTCTACTTTAAACGCCCTCTTAAAAGCTGATAACTTAAGTACCAGTAAAACTAGGTAGACAAAATTTCACGTACAGTAATTGTGGGTCTTTTCCTAAATATTTGTAAAGGTATCCAATTGATAATAAAGTGACCCACGCTTTTCTTTATAGCTATTCCAATAGTAGTGTGTCATTTATTTTCTACTTTTTAGTGCATTACTACATATAAGCTTGTTATTTAAACGTTTTTTATGTTTTTTTCCCAGTACTTTAACATTTTTATAACAAATAGTTTCATTACTAAAACCAATTGCGCACCAAATGAACATGATAATTGCCCGTTTAATAGTGCGGAATTATATTAGGTCAGCCTACTAAGTTTAAACATTTTAATGGACACCAGCGAGAAAAGTCTCAAAGGTATTTGAGAGGTGCATAAATTAATTTTAAAATCATGCACGGCGTAGTTACAATTAATATGGTTATAAAATCCTGTCTGTATGGTTTTTTCGGACTTTACTAAAGATTGGGTGTATTTGATGTTTTTAAAATTTTCGGTAACTAAATAAAAATAAAAAAAAAAAAAGCAAAAACAATTTGGTTTTCACGTGTAATGGCGACATAAACAATGGCCGCCATAAATTTTATTGTACACATTGTAAGCTAAAAATAGAAAAAAATAGGTCATGGTGTTTAAATTTGCATAGTTATTTAAAAACTTGATCTGCAAAGTTTTGTAAACAAAATAACTATAAAGTGGGGCTGTCAGAAATCGATCACGGAGTTCCTTTACAGCCAATCAATGTTTGTCTTACGAAAGTGAAACATCGGGTTATAACTTAGGCTTGATGAAAATAAATAGAAATGTAGCCTTAAACTCAACAAATTATTTTCAAGTTCTCTGGATCTGCAACTTCTATAGCATTGATTCTAAAAATATTACATTTCTGAATTAATTTTAGGCTTAAGTTTTTAATAAATTTTTTATCTTTTATTAGTTTTATGGTCCTAAATCTAAATAAACCGGGAGTGATCTCCCCTAAACTTTCTCGAATATTCTAATATAACACTACGGGGGATGGCAACTCGGGATATAGACTTCTAGACATGATTTTTAATCCATTTTAAATACTCAAACTTTTTAAAATAGAATATAATCTCGTAGAAAAAAGAATTGCACACCAAGTGAACGCTAAATAAAGATGTGCATAATAGTGAGCAATATTATTAGTACTTTATAAATTTACATGCGTTTTTTGAGAAATCGGAAATAGCGTAAATTAGTACTTCTGGTCAACGGAAATTACTCAAAATTTGACAGAAGGTAGAGAATTAGATCTTTTACTTACATATCAAATTTCATTTATCTATCTAAAATAGTACTCAAGTTATAGGCTTTTGAAAAATTCAAAGTAGAAAATGTACCACTTCCGGTTATCGGAAATCGCTCAAAAGTTGATACGGATCTACGCTTTTGATAAAATACTTATATATGAATTTTCATCAACCTAGCTGTAACGGTACTCAAGTTATCGTGTTTACACACGGACACACAGACAGACACACAGACATACGGACAAGATTGCAAAATTATGTTTTTCCGTATCAGTGAGGTATAAAACGTCGAGATTTGTAAAAATCTCTATTTTTTTTTACACGATTACAAGACTTTCTCTATACTTCGTATATACGAGAAAGTAAAAAGCACATTTTTATTCCATGTCAACAACATTACGGAAGGAATCTCGTCAACTCGCTGGTGTCCATTAATTCATTTAAAAATGTTTAGTCATGCTATTAAGTCAAATTTGATGTCCGCTTGCATTATCATCGGGTCTTGTTCCACGTGCCGAATTTCAGAAAAATTAGTCCGTTAGAAGTGCCCGAAATTTCGCCCGCCCGTTTCGATGCAGATAGAAAGACAGACAGACATGACCAGGAAGCAAGTTAAATAACATCTTGTAAAATCAATAAAAACATGTCCATAGCCCTGTGGGTGCCCCCCCCCCCATGTTATATAAGAATATACGAGCAAGTTATGGTGAGATCACTCCCGTTTTATTTATTTTTAATTAGTAACATGATGTTGCGTGTGGTTTGTCTAGTTGTTTTCCCCTATCAGCAGTTACCGCACTCTTTGCAAGTGTCGCATTGTAGAGTGACCATTAGTAACAAGCAGCCCAATACCCCACCCCCCCCACATATTTTGAACACCAAAGTTCCAGCCAAAGATCAAAAGACGTGTCCGTGTACGTCAGCAAGTCGCGTGTCTGTCAGGCCAGCACTTGACGTAGGTATCCCTGTAGGACCCGCGGGACGCTTGAATGCTTCGTCAGCTGGCGTCCCGCTGAGCCCCTGGGTTAATGAGATTGGTGTTTTGTGGCCCGTCAATACATGAAACAAACCCCTCGAGTTGCTAATCTGGTCACGTGATCAAAGCCCTGTCGTACCTATCGATTAGGGCCCACTAGACTTCATCTATATGGTCACGTGACAATCAGGGTTGATGACATGCGCCTCAAGTGCCTGTTAGACACCTCGTGAGGTGGGCGGCTAGGACGTCAGGAGACTCTCGACGCGAGTTGCTGGCCTTTGAAGTTGGCGAGTATCAGGGCGTGTTATACTCCCCGTGTTTACCCTGCTCTGTCCAAGTGGCTCGCCGGACAATGGTCAGTGTCCTCGGCTTACTCTCACGACAGGAGTGGTATGTTTCCCAGCCACCCCGCCCTCTGATGGCTCGTCAGGTGCTTCTGTCAGCAGGTTAGCCGTCTAGTATCTCGGTCCACCAGTGGGCACGGGTCTGTCACGGGTAGCACCCACCTAACGTGTCGGCTAGCCTACAGTGTCATGTCATGACGTAACGCGCTTGCCGTGGCAGGGGATTAGTGGCTGTTCAGGTTTAAAGAGCTCGTCTTGTGAAAATGATTTACCACTCCCCCCCCCCTCATCTCCCCTTTTTTCTACACCTCAACCCCACACCCTTACTCCCCCCCCCCCAGTAAATCGGTGGGAGGGGGGGGGGGAACTCACGGTAAAAATGTGACAAATATGACACGTCTACTACACACACAATACATGAAATAGTTAGGATAATCATGTCAGATTAGTTCAATTTCTATCTCGTCATGAGCATTCATTGCATCAGGTAACCACGCAGATATAGAATGATATAGTAGTAGAGATGTATAAAGTCGCTGATATACACTGACAATGATATAGTAGTAATGTATGTTGTATAAAGTCGCTTATATAGACTAACAATGATATAGTAGTGATGTATGTTGTATAAAGTCGCTGATATACACTGACAATGATATAGTAGTGATGTATGTTGTATAAAGTCGCTGATATACACTGACAATGATATAGTAGTGATGTATGTTGTATAAAGTCGCTGATATAGACTGACAATGATATAGTAGTGATGTATGTTGTATAAAGTCGCTGATATAGACTGACAATGATATAGTAGTGATGTATGTTGTATAAAGTCGCTGATATACACTGACAATGATATAGTAGTGATGTATGTTGTATAAAGTCGCTGATATACACTGACAATGATATAGTAGTGATGTATGTTGTATACAGCGTGACAATGATACAGTGTTTTATGCGGACAACTCATTTATTAAACTGTGTAGATAATTGTCTATTGACTGCGGTAGCGGCTGATTCCCTTCTTCTTGGCTGTGTATTTTGTGTTTGTTCTTCGGTGGATTTTGTGTTTGTTGTTTTGCAATGTCTGCCCTCCGGATTTTAAGTAGATCTTGTTACCCCCCCCCCCCCACACACACACCACACTATGAACCCTGACCATCACAGACTTTTCCTATTCTCCCCCTCCCACTAGCGTCCATTTCTCTTGGAAAAAAATGTGTGTAGCTAGGTGAAATTTTGATGCAGACGTGTCGATGTGTGAGTTGGGCTGACCCACAACACGTCATGTTACATCCCGTGTTGACCCGCAACACGTCATGTTACATCCTGTGCTGACCAATAACACGTCATGTTACATCCTGTGTTGACCAACAACACGTCATGTTACATCCCGTGCTGACCAATAACACGTCATGTTACATCCCGTGTTGACCCGCAACACGTCATGTTACATCCTGTGTTGTGTGTTTGCTGACATAGGTCGTGGTGTGATGGTCCCACACATTAGTGCGTCTACTGCGTCATTGTCTACCTGTGTCACTGTCTACCTGTGTCACTGTCTACCTCTGTCATTGTCTACCTGTGTCATCAGTGCAAGTGAGCACCTGTGTCATTGTCTACCTCTGTCACTGTCTACCTGTGTCATCAGTGCAAGTGAGCACCTGTGTCATTGTCTACCTCTGTCACTGTCTACCTGTGTCATCAGTGCAAGTGAGCACCTGTGTCACTGTCTACCTGTGTCACTGTCTACCTGTGTCATCAGTGCAAGTGAGCAGATGATCTCAGCACGACACTGTAGGACGAGGTGATCTATTGTCCAGTTTGTGTTGACCATGAGTCTGACCCACGATGACCGCAGGTTCGAGTTACATCACGTGGTGGGTGGAGCCTAGCCAGCCATACGGAACTAAGCGCTGGGCGGGGCATACGTAACAACCGCTTGTGATACGGGGCGTGGCGTCTTCTCCATACATAAAGACGACTAGCGAGGGCGAACTAGCCAGTCGAGCCATCCTTGCTAGTCAGTACTGTGACTTGAGCTAGAAGGGGGATCGCCTCAACTGATGAACTTGTATCAGGGTTGTGTATCGTTTCCCTGCAAGCGAGATGGCCGTGCATATAGCACTCAACTCCAGCCTTTTCAAACGGAAGTGTATCGAGCCTGTTCTAGACGTTACGGTGACCCCACCAAAGCGACATAGGGGGCCCTCACTGTCCCGTCTCTCCCGGTCCATCACCAGCTCACTCAAAGTCAGGAAACACAGGAGCGTCACTGGGGGCAGGAGCGTAGTCGTGTCCTCGCCCCCACACCGCGGAGGATATTTCGATAACTTGAACAAAAGTGTCGCCTGTGTGAGCCGTCAAAGGTCGCTGTGTCAGCCGCTCCTCAACTTCAGCCTTCAGCTGGACCAGACGGACCTCCAGACCTCCGGCCAGCACCAGACCTCTCATGGTGCCAGACCTGAGCCTGAAGGAGCGCCGGCTGACCAGCGGCACCGGTCAGCGCGAGGCCAGTGTACCGACGCCAGGTTAAACCTGAGCGTGTGTGCCGCACTCACCCGCCCTCGGGGTTTGAACCAGGCCATGTTGCACAACTTGAGCTTGGCAACAGACAGGGCATATCATGTAAGTTTAGCTTGACCACTGGGCATATCATGTAAGTTTAGCTTGACCACTGGGCATATCATGTAAGTTTTGCTTGACCACTGGGCATATCATGTAAGTTTAGCTTGACCACTGGGCATATCATGTAAGTTTAGTTTGGCAACAGACAGGGCATATCATATAAGTTTAGCTTGACCACTGGGCATATCATGTAAGTTTAGCTTGACCACTGGGCATATCATGTAAGTTTAGCTTGACCACTGGGCATATCATGTAAGTTTAGTTTGGCAACAGACAGGGCATATCATATAAGTTTAGCTTGACCACTGGGCATATCATGTAAGTTTAGCTTGACCACTGGGCATATCATGTAAGTTTAGCTTGACCACAGGGCATATCATGTAAGTTTAGACTGGCAACAGACAGGGCATATCATGTAAGTTTAGACTGGCAACAGACAGGGCATATCATGTAAGTTTAGCTTGACCACACAAACTTGTAGATTTTAGCGGTTTTATAAAAGGAACTGTGTCATCTTGTGGCCGTGTGTCGTCTTGTTGCCGTGTGTGGTCGTGTGTCGTCGTGTGACCGTGTCGTCGTGTTATGATGTTTACCATGTGACCTGCCGTGACAGAGTGCTGCTCACCGTGTTGCCCCGTGTGTCGTGTTGATGACCGAGAAATCCGTGACTTGAACCAGCAACACGATCAGCTGTTTTTAACCTGGTAGGTCCTACTGTTGGTCTCTGCTTGCCAGCTCCTAAATGTCTACACAACTGTTGACATACAGGTCCATGACCTAATGGTGACATTTCTCTACACAACTGTTGACATACAGGTCCATGACCTAATGATATTTGTCTACACAACTGTTGACATACAGGTCCATGACCTAATGATGACATTTGTCTACCCAACTGTTGACATACAGGTCCATGACCTAATGGTGACATTTGTCTACACAACTGTTGACATACAGGTCCATGACCTAATGATGACATTTGTCTACACAACTGTTGACATACAGGTCCATGACCTAATGATGACATTTGTCTACACAACTGTTGACATACAGGTCCATGACCTAATGATGACATATGTCTACACAACTGTTGACATACAGGTCCATGACCTTAAACCTGTAGAGATGGGCTACCTTAAACCTGTAGAGATGGGCTACCTTAAACCTGTAGAGATGGGCTACCTTAAACCTGTAGAGATGGGCTACCTTAAACCTGTAGAGATGGGCTACCTTAAACCTGTAGAGATGGGCTACCTTAAACCTGTAGAGATGGGCTACCTTAAACCTTTACAGATGGGCTACCTTAAACCTTTACAGATGGGCTACCTTAAACCTTTACAGATGGGCTACCTTAAACCTGTAGAGATGGGCTACCTTAAACCTGTAGAGATGGGCTACCTTAAACCTTTACAGATGGGCTACCTTAAACCTGTAGAGATGGGCTACCTTAAACCTGTAGAGATGGGCTACCTTAAACCTGTAGAGATGGGCTACCTTAAACCTTTACAGATGGGCTACCTTAAACCTTTACAGATGGGCTACCTTAAACCTGTAGAGATGGGCTACCTTAAACCTGTAGAGATGGGCTACCTTAAACCTGTAGAGATGGGCTACCTTAAACCTGTAGAGATGGGCTACCTTAAACCTGTAGAGATGGGCTACCTTAAACCTGTAGAGATGGGCTACCTTAAACCTGTAGAGATGGGCTACCTTAAACCTGTAGAGATGGGCTACCTTAAACCTGTAGAGATGGGCTACCTTAAACCTGTAGAGATGGGCTACCTTAAACCTGTAGAGATGGGCTACCTTAAACCTGTAGAGATGGGCTACCTTAAACCTATAGAGATGGGCTATTGCAGCTTTGATTACACATGAGCTCACCTTTTGTGGTCAGTTTTTGTGTCATGTCAATCACTCCACTTCACAGCTCAACTTAATCCTTAGAACTGGACGCTTTACCTTAATCCTAAACCCTCCCCCCCACACCCCCCCACCCCCATGGAGTGCAAGTTTTTTGTTTGATTGAAGCAAGTGTTTGGTAAACATTAGGCTCTGAGTTTGTCAGCTGTAGACCGGGTAGTCAGATCTTATCTCACCCTGTATGGCCTGACTTGGGCCGCATTCTGATCGGACTATTTCAAACTTGTCATGCTTTGTTAAAAAACTGTTCGCTTTCTGATGGGACTATTTCAAACTTGTCATGCTTTGTTTAAAAATAGTTCGGAGACAATTGTTTTCATTTAGTCAGGACAGTTTGTCTAAACATCCACATGGGATTGTGTTAGTGCATTCATCAGTAAGTAGATATTAGGTCATTCAGACAGCTTTTAGTGTGTTTATCAGTAAGTAGATGTTAGGTCATTCAGACAGCTGTTACTGTGTTTATCAGTAAGTAGATGTTAGGTCATTCAGACAGCTGTTAGTGTGTTTTCAGTAAGTAGATGTTAGGTCATTCAGACAGCTGTTAGTGTGTTTATCAGTAAGTAGATGTTAGGTAATTCAGACAGCTGTTAGTGTGTTTATCAGTAAGTAGATGTTAGGTCATTCAGACAGCTGTTAGTGTGTTTATCAGTAAGTAGATGTTAGGTCATTCAGACAGCTGTTAGTGTGTTTATCAGTAAGTTGATGTTAGGTCATTTAGACAGCTGTTAGTGTGTTTTGGAAGGGTTGGTCACACAACAGTTAATTCTGTCCTAACTATACTGGCTTTTAAATCATTCTGTTTCTATACTAAATCAGTCAGTTTCTATACTAAATCAGTCTCTTTCTATACTAAATCAGTCTGTTTCTATACTTAATCAGTCTGTTTCTATACTAAATCAGTCTGTTTCTATACTGAATCTGTTTCTGTGAATCAATCTGTTTCTTTGAATCAATCTGTTTCTTTGAATCAATCTGTTTCTTTGAATCAATCTGTTTCTTTGAATCAATTTGTTTCTTTGAATTAATCCACCTGTTTAATCACATAATTTGTTTCTTTGAATCAATCCACCTGTTTAATCACATAATTTGTTTCTTTGAATCAATCCACCTTTTTAATCACACAATTTGTTTCTTTGAATCAATCCACCTGTTTAATCACATAATTTGTTTCTTTGAATCAATCCACCTGTTTAATCACATAATTTGTTTCTTTGAATCAATCCACCTGTTTAATCACATAATTTGTTTCTTCTCCCCTGTGTCCAGTCACTGGCTGTAGGTGAGGAAGTTGTCCCTAGCAACCATAAACTGCTGAGTGCGTGTAGTGTCAGCAACATTGCCTGTCAGACGGAGCATGGACAAATGGACAAGGCTGGCAGGGTGGCCAGTTGGGCCGTTCACTTTGATCAACTGTTGAGAGATCCTATTGGGATTGGGATATTTACTGTAAGAATTTTACTCACTTTGATCAACTCTTGAGAGATCCTATAGGTATTGGGATATTTACTGTAAGAATTTTACTCACTTTGATCAACTGTTGAGAGATCCTATTGGGATTGGGATATTTACTGTAAGAATTTTACTCACTTTGATCAACTGTTGAGAGATATTTACTGTAAGAATTTTATTCACTTAATTTACATCTTAATTTAAATATTTTTGGCTTGTATTTCTTGTAGGAATTCTTAAGAAAAGAGTTCAGTGAAGAAAACATAATCTTCTGGAAAGCTTGTGAACAATACAGACAGCTGGTTGATGACCAGGAGGTAGGTTGTAGTACAAACTTGTGCCATTCATTCTCCTGTGCTACTTTTTCACTTGAGCCAATCATTCTCCTGTGCTACTTTTTCACTTGAGCCAATCATTCTCCTGTGCTACTTTTTCACTTGAGCCAATCATTCTCCTGTGCTACTTTTTCACTTGAGCCAATCATTCTCCTGTGCTACTTTTTCACTTGAGCCAATCATTCTCCTGTGCTACTTTTTCACTTGAGCCAATCATTCTCCTGTGCTACTTTTTCACTTGAGCCAAGCATTCTCCTGTGCTACTTTTTCACTTGAGCCAAGCATTCTCCTGTGCTACTTTTTCACTTGAGCCAATCGTTCTCCTGTGCTACTTTTTCACTTGAGCCAATCATTCTCCTGTGCTACTTTTTCACTTGAGCCAATCATTCTCCTGTGCTACTTTTTCACTTGAGCCAATCATTCTCCTGTGCTACTTTTTCACTTGAGCCAAGCATTCTCCTGTGCTACTTTTTCACTTGAGCCAAGCATTCTCCTGTGCTACTTTTTCACTTGAGCCAATCATTCTCCTGTGCTACTTTTTCACTTGAGCCATTCATTCTCCTGTGCTACTTTTTCACTTGAGCCAAGCATTCTCCTGTGCTACTTTTTCACTTGAGCCATTCTCCTGTGCTACTTTTTCACTTGAGCCAATCATTCTCCTGTGCTACTTTTTCACTTGAGCCAAGCATTCTCCTGTGCTACTTTTTCACTTGAGCCAAGCATTCTCCTGTGCTACTTTTTCACTTGAGCCAATCATTCTCCTGTGCTACTTTTTCACTTGAGCCATTCATTCTCCTGTGCTACTTTTTCACTTGAGCCAAGCATTCTCCTGTGCTACTTTTTCACTTGAGCCATTCATTCTCCTGTGCTACTTTTTCACTTGAGCCAATCCTCCTGTACTACTTTTTCACTTGAGCCAATCATTCTCCTGTGCTACTTTTTCACTTGAGCCAATCATTCTCCTGTGCTACTTTTTCACTTGAGCCAATCATTCTCCTGTGCTACTTTTTCACTTGAGCCAATCATTCTCCTGTGCTACTTTTTCACTTGAGCCAATCATTCTCCTGTGCTACTTTTGACTGCTTTAATATTGCCATAAGAGCTCCCCTGTAAAAAGTTTCCCTTTGTTACCCCAGAGGAAGTCTGAGGCCAGGGCCATCTACAGCAAGTATTTATCTGCCAAGGCCAGTGACCCAGTCAATGTGGACAGCACAGCCAGGTCCTATTCGGAGAAGTTCTTGGACAACCCAACATCCATCATGTTTGACATTGCCCAACAACAGGTAGGTCAAGTGCACAGAAGATGCTTTCCTAAACAGTCATGCTCTTGTAACCAACAGGATTTGTTTCAACAGATATTTCAACTCATGAGACAGGACAGTTACGCCAGATTTCTAAAGTCAGAGATCTATAAAACAAAGTTGATGGAAGAAATGGAAGGAAAGCCTTTGGAAGTCCCTGTGAATGGGATGCAACAGGAGAAAAAGAAAAAGGTTTGTTCTTAGCTTGTTTAAACACCTGAGACATTATTTTTTCTAACTCTGCCACTACACATTATTTTATTTTTTCTCACTTTGTTACTACACATTTTATTTTTTCTAACTTTGCCACTACACATTATTTTATTTAGCAGGTAAAAAATGTGGACAATGACAAGAGGCGGCGCTCTATATTGCCATGGAAACAAAGTGAGTTGATATTTATTAAACAAAAATATGTAACCCTTTTTTGTCAGGGCATTAAACAACTGGTGACTGGAAATATGCACAACAGAAAACTGTGCACTTGAACATTCATGGGCATTTTTGTTTTATTAAATCAAGCATTGATAGACACACAAAGAATAATAAAAACATAATAAAACATGTACGTTGTAGCATAATAAAACACTAGCCATTTGTACCCGTTTCACGTGAATTATAGGCCTATATATTTTTAAATGTTGTACGTGTTTGAGAAAATAATTTATAAAATAGTTATTGGTCAAAACGCAATGTGCTTTACTACACGCTGAACGATATTAGTGACAAAGCAAAAAAATAACTAATTAGCTAAAAATCCGACACATTTAACATAACATAGGCACACACTGATTAAGTGACTTAAATGATTCCGTTAAAAACTCAACTATTCAATTGTATTCTTCGTGTTTTTAAAGTGATTTATTTTTATTAGGTTTTTATGTATAGTATTGTATAGATTATAAATCTAGATCTTAGCGCCTAAGTCTAGTTTTTCCGTAGATCTAGTCTAGATCTAGAATCTCTAGATCTAGAATCCAAATAGATAAAGTAAATTTTATAAGTTTAGGCCGAGAAAATTGTATTATATACATTTCATAGCGTGCGTAGATCTAAATCAAATTTGAATGAAATAGTTTATTTCTTTATATTCTAAAATCGGAAGATGGCGCCATGAGTTTTGTGTAAACATTTGGCGAGTGACGTCATTGTTTTATGCGTTCTTTTTCACAACTATAAACAATTTTCCTGTTGCATAATTAAAACTGTTTTCTACATTTGAATATGCCTTTATTTTTTATTTTTCTTTTTTAAATAAAATTGTGGTTATACATTTAAAACATCTACCATATTATTTTCAACAAAAATCGGTATCAATTTTTCCATATATCGCTGAAGATTCTGACGTGATATCCCGCAAAAATATTTTGTGGATAGAGAGAGAGAGAGAGAGAGAAATGCGCACATGGGCTTTATATATTAGGATTTTGACATGAAATTCGACAAAATTAAAGTATATTGACATAATTAGTTTTTATTTGTGCATTTTTCTATTGGTGCAGTTTTATGTTTGCACTTTTTTCTATGAACCTAAAAAACTATAACTTGAAACGCAGAAGTGAAAATATTCCCTTATAAAAAAACTTTCACAAGTGTTTTCTCCCATTTTTAACCTGTGCGCTAATATTTGTGAGCAAAACTGATTTAATGATTACTACTGCATGGTTATCTCCCTCATTGTTATTGGATATTTTCTATTTAATTAAATCTCTCATTAGAATGAAAGTGAGATTTTTGTCGTCATTTGGGACTTATCTACAATATGTATGAAAGAAATTTCTTTATAAGGAATAAGGGTCAGAATTGAATTCACCCACCCACAAATTAACACACCCAATTAATCAACCTACTCAATCACTAAATCAACCTCCCTAATCACTCAATCAACCTACCCAATCACTCAATCACCCTACCCAATCACTCAATCAACCTACCCAATCACTCAATCAACCTACCCAATCACTCAATCAACCCCCACAATCACTCAATCAACCCCCACAATCACTCAATCAACCCCCACAATCACTCCATCAACCTACCCAATCACTTAATCGACCAACTTAATCACTCAATCAACCTACCCAATCACTCAATCAACCTACCCAATCACTCAATCAACCTACCCAATCAAGCAAGCTACCCACCCTCAAATCAACACACCCACCCATAAGCCCCTCATAACAGCTTGTAAAATATCAAACCTGAACTAGTCAAGGACCCCCACACATTTAACTAAAGTTATAGTACATTGCTAAAAATGTACTAAACTTGTCTGTATGACTTGAGCAATGACAAATAAAATGTGAAGGTACTGTACTCTGTTCTGGTCACTCTGATTGTAAGTGGTTTACAAATCCTGTGTATATAGGGCAGGAAATATTCTTTTTATGTAATCAAACTGCAAGGGCTTGTTTACTATGCTGGAACTTGATTCCGCAGATAAGAAATCAGTGAAAAGTTTGGGCAAGAAGGGTAAAGAGGATGTGGATAAAGGTGTGGATCCAGCCCCAGCAAGTGCCAGTGCCAGCGTGGTGCTAAAGAAGGCTCCAGGCCCAGGCATTGACCTCAGTACAATGAGAAAAGAAGTTTTTCACCCTAAAGATGTAAGCCATTGCTTTTTTATTTCAACATTATTCTCATTGTGGACAATTTTCTTGGAATTTTCAAATGGTTTTGATCTTTCAATGAAGTGCTTGTCTATTGTAGATCCGTGATGCCCCAGAATCCCACTTCAAGTTTTGTCGTATTGTTATGCCTGATGGGTCCACCACTGTAGTGTGCGCCAAACCTGGGCAAACATCACGCTCTGTGCTGAGCAAACTTTGTGAGAAAAGATCCGTCTCCATCGCCTCTGTTGATGTCTTCCTGCTGGGATCTGATCAGGTTAGTCATGCTTTTTTTAGTTGGCAGTTTGCCAGATGTCATTTGCCAGTTTTGGTTTGCCAGATGTCATTTGCCAGTTTTGGTTTGCCAGATGTCATTTGCCAGTTTTGGCTTGCCAGATGTCATTTGTCTTCCTGTCCCTATAGTAACGTGAACTTGTCTGTTTCTAGCCCTTAGATTTAAATGAGGACATATCTACCCTGGGATCCAAGGAGATCGTCATAGAGAGACGAGTGCTGTTTAGACTGGACCTACCAAACGGCAAGTCTATAGGCGTCAAAGCCAAGCCTAACCGCACTATACGTGATGTCTTCAAACCTATTCTCAACAAATATGGCTTACGTCTGGATAATGTTGGCGTTCATTTGGTAAGACGTTTTTAACAATTACAGTTGAACTCAAATTATTTTGTTTTCTCTTCAACTCAAATTATTTTGTTTTCTGTTCAATTCAAATTATTTTTTCTCATCAACTCAAATTATTTTGTTTTCTGTTAAAATGACCAGTGATTTGTTTTGCAACCCTTGTTACAGATTGGCTCTCAAGAACTTTTGGATTTAGATGGTTCAGTGTCTGAACTGGACAACCAGCGAGCTGTGGTTGTCTTGGGTGTAGATCTGGAAGGTAATTCTTTAATATGGGTTATCTTTCAACAAAGCCAAAAAAATTGCAAAAACTGTCTAAAATCATAGCCTACCTAATTGAAGCAACATCTTATCTGCGTGGATAGCAATTGAGTAAAGTTGAGTATGATAATGCAAAAAGCCATTTATCACCTAAGTTTTTAAAATCTCTCTTGTAATTAATGGCTGCTCTAGCTTGACCTTGATTTGCTTCTCTCCCCTTGTGTTCTCATGGTTTTCATGCATGAATTAACACGCTACCATTGATACTACTCTAACACTTGTTTCTTGAATATTGGACAACTAACTCTGTAATTTAACACCAGTTTTATTTCATATTTTAAAATCTGTTATAATATCATACACGTTTTTTAAAACATTTGTTTCATGTTCTAACATAATTTTTGAACTAACCTGCATAGTTAAGATTGTTGAACTTTGACCTAACCTGCATGCATTGCATCCTGTGTTGTTGTATTTGTTCTAACAGAGAGGCAGGGGTCACTGGCCTCCCGCGCACCTGTGGGCCGCCACAAGGTAGGACACAATGGCTCGCGTGGTGGCTCTGGTGGCTCACTGGAAGAGATAACCAATCAAATATTTGATGATTTAATGCGAGGGAAAAGCCAATTGGCCCATGGCTTTGATGAGCTGGGTGTTCTGGAGTTAGACAAGGCCAAGGTAGGGAGAGTAGAGGTTTAGGCCATGGTAGAGAGTAGAGGTTTAGGCCAAGGTAGAGGTTTAGGCCAAGGTAGAGGTTTAGGCCATGGTAGAGAGTAGAGGTTTAGGCCAAGGTAGAGGTTTAGGCCAAGGTAGAGAGTAGAGGTTTAGGCCAAGGTAGAGGTTTAGGCCAAGGTAGAGAGTAGAGGTTTAGGCCAAGGTAGAGGTTTAGGCCAAGGTAGAGAGTAGAGGTTTAGGCCAAGGTAGAGGTTTAGGCCAAGGTAGAGGTTTAGGCCAATGTGGGGAGAGTAGAGGTTTAGGCCATGGTAGAGAGTAGAGGTTTAGGCCAAGGTAGAGGTTTAGCCAAGGTAGAGGTTTAGGCCAAGGTAGAGAGTAGAGGTTTAGGCCAAGGTAGAGGTTTAGGCCAAGGTAGAGAGTAGAGGTTTAGGCCAAGGTAGAGGTTTAGGCCAATGTGGGGAGAGTAGAGGTTTAGGCCATGGTAGAGAGTAGAGGTTTAGGCCAAGGTAGAGGTTTAGGCCAAGGTAGAGGTTTAGGCCATGGTAGAGAGTAGAGGTTTAGGCCAAGGTAGAGGTTTAGGCCAAGGTAGAGAGTAGAGGTTTAGGCCAAGGTAGAGGTTTAGGCCAAGGTAGAGAGTAGAGGTTTAGGCCAAGGTAGAGGTTTAGGCCAAGGTAGAGAGTAGAGGTTTAGGCCAAGGTAGAGGTTTAGGCCAAGGTAGAGGTTTAGGCCAATGTGGGGAGAGTAGAGGTTTAGGCCATGGTAGAGAGTAGAAGTTTAGGCCAAGGTAGAGGTTTAGCCAAGGTAGAGGTTTAGGCCAAGGTAGAGAGTAGAGGTTTAGGCCAAGGTAGAGGTTTAGGCCAAGGTAGAGAGTAGAGGTTTAGGCCAAGGTAGAGGTTTAGGCCAATGTGGGGAGAGTAGGTTTTTATTTAATGGAGAGGAGAGTATGTATTTATAGAAAACTATTCATGTGGTTAGAATTTCCTTTACTCCTACTTTATGTCTTGATCATTACCAATCTACTAAGTTCAACTGTTGCTGATTCTGTAATAAAAAAATAGAAAAATCTCATACTTGTGAATCCTCAAATACATTAGAATGAAATATAATAGCCTGGCCATTAGCATTGGTCTTAACGTGAATGATCTTCTTGTAACCAAGTTGATGAGAATAAGGGAACCAGCAGCTCTGGCCTAGGATATGTGAGAAGTTTGAGATGCTTTCTGTAACATCTTTTGTTGATTGCATGTTGTATGAGAAGTTTGAGATGCTTTCTGTAACATCTTTTGTTGATTGCATGTTGTATGAGAAGTTTGAGATGCTTTCTGTAACATCTTTTGTTGATTGCATGTTGTGCTCAATCTTCTAACATCCTCACACAATCTCTCCTCACTGCTCCTTCACTCTGTGACTCATGCATGGATTGTGACAATTGTCTAGAGACTGATTTGTTGATTGTGACAATTGTCTAGAGACTGATTTGTTGATTGAGACAAATGTATATAGATTGATATGTTGATTGTTTTGTGACAGGGTTACAAAAACGAAGAGGTGCGCTCTTTGGGTTTATTCGCGCTCCTGAGAAAAGAGTCAGTAAAAGACAAGAGCAGCAGAACAAAAGGCAAGGTGACCTTTGCCCTCCCACGGAATGAAGCCAAGAAAAAGGGAAGCACCAGAGAAGGTATTTAAAATATTGTTTTTTTCATGTATTATTCCACTGTCATGTGTCAAAATATTTCGTTGCATATATTATTGCAAATTTTTAATTGAATGTTGCATGCTTTATTAGATAACTTTTCCAATGTTTGAATACTATTTAAAGAGCTGTACTATTTGCGCAGGTGAGCGATTATTTGAAATGCTTTCAAGTGCCCAGAGGTTACGTCTGGAAGAACAGCGTGGCGTGCAGGTGTCCACAGGAGAGCTGCCCTCATTTTTGTGTCAGCCTGACGCTAGGGCAGGGCATGACGTCAGCACCACACTGGCTGGGAACATGTTTGATGATGTAGCTGAGATCTCTAAGGCAGGATTCTTGAGGTCTCGAGGCAAGAAGGTGGAGAAGACATCAGACAGCACCCAAGAGGTGGCGCCTCATATCAAGAAGACATCAGACAGCACCCAAGATTTGGCGTCTCCTATCAAGAAGACATCAGACAGCACCCAAGATTTGGCGCCTCATATCAAGAAGACATCAGACAGCACCCAAGATTTGGCGCCTCATATCAATGACAAGTGGAGGGTAAATGGCAGCCACTTGTCATTAGCTGCTCACATTGACAGTTACTTTGAAAAGTCTCCCCTGATCATTGACTCAGAGCCCAACAGAGCCCACAGATCAGAGAGGCTTGTTGTCCAGGCTCCTGTGGCATCCCCTGAAAACTTTTCTCCTGAAAGCAAAAAGCTCAAAAGTTGTCCACAAGTTAAAAACTCTGCTGTACCAAACAGACAATTGTCAGTTTCCCCCACATCGCTCCCATCACACTCCCCCACACCGCTGCCACCACACTCCCCCACACCACACTCCTCCAGAACAAACTCAAGCAATGCTTCACCAGTTGCCAACGTGTCTGACAAGAATTATTCTGTCACCCTCAAGGCTCCCTCTAGCTCCAACATTAGCCATCCTCTAGGAGCTAGTAACTCTCCCAAGCAACTCTCTGACTCTACAAATGGATTACCTGTACAGCTGGTTTCACCTAGGATATCTCCAGGTGAGACTTGTGTGGCCAGCAACATTGTCCGCGCTTCTCCCAGGCTTGACCAGCCTCCCAGCTACAGACAACTTGATCCTCCACCTTACAAAAAACGAACATCGCTGTCCTCAATCAATACAAATTCTTCCAGTGGGAAAGCTGTATTCATTGCAAATTCATTTCACCAAAATGAAAAGCAGATAATTGAGATGTCTCCCGCATGTTCAAGGTCAGCATTTAACTCACCCACCTGGGACCAGCTGTCTCCACCAAAGTCAACATTTTACTCACCCACACAAAATGGTGGAATGAAGAGTCCACTCCACACACCATCAGCACTGGAGTTTGTGGAGAAAAGAAATCAGTTGAATCATCACTCAAGCCCACACCCCAGCTCCCTACACCTCCCATATCAACTAGTAGACCCAGAAGATGAAACGGTTACATTTGTGTGAAACTCCTTTTGTTCCTTGTCAACTTGGTGGCATTATTTAAGTTTGTGTCAGGCTAACTTGAAGCCTCCTAGACTAGCAGTTTTGATCAGCTCGTTAATAGAAAACTAATCCGGTGATGTCTAGATGAATTTTAAAGTATTTTAAAGGATCCAATGTCAAAACCCTTAACACACATTTTCCCATTCATGTAACAAAACCTTTATATTCTTGATACATATATATTAACCCAGATTTTGACCAGGGCTGTGGGTTGTGTTATGGTTGTCTAAACTGTTTTACCAGGACTAGGTTGTGTAATGGTTGTCTAAACTATTTGACCAAGACTGTATGGGTTGTGTTATGGTTGTCTAAACTATTTGACTTGGACTGTGGGTTGTGTTATGGTTGTCTAAACTATTTGACTTGGACTGTATGGGTTGTGTTATGGTTGTCTAAACTATTTGACTAGGACTGTATGGGTTGTGTTATGGTTGTCTAAACTATTTGACTTGGACTGTATGGGTTGTGTTATGGTTGTCTAAACTATTTGACTAGGACTGTGGGTTGTGTTATGGTTGTCTAAACTATTTGACTAGGACTGTGTTATGGTTGTCTAAACTATTTGACTAGGACTGTATGGGTTGTGTTATGGTTGTCTAAACTATTTGACTAGGACTGTGTTATGGTTGTCTAAACTATTTGACTAGGACTGTGTTATGGTTGTCTAAACTATTTGACTAGGACTGTATGGGTTGTGTTATGGTTGTCTAAACTATTTGACTAGGACTGTATTATGGTTGTCTAAACTATTTGACTAGGACTGTGTTATGGTTGTCTAAACTATTTGACTAGGACTGTGTTATGGTTGTCTAAACTATTTAACTAGGACTGTATGGGTTGTGTTATGGTTGTCTAAACTATTTGACTAGGACTGTGTTATGGTTGTCTAAACTATTTGACCAAGACTGTATGGGTTGTGTTATGGTTGTCTAAACTATTTGACTAGGACTGTGGGTTGTGTTATGGTTGTCTAAACTATTTGACTAGGACTGTATGGGTTGTGTTATGGTTGTCTAAACTATTTGACTAGGACTGTGTTATGGTTGTCTAAACTATTTGACCAAGACTGTATGGGTTGTGTTATGGTTGTCTAAACTATTTGACCAAGACTGTATGGGTTGTGTTATGGTTGTCTAAACTATTTAACTAGGACTGTGTTATGGTTGTCTAAACTATTTGACCAAGACTGTATGGGTTGTGTTATGGTTGTCTAAACTATTTGACTAGGACTGTGGGTTGTGTTATGGTTGTCTAAACTATTTGACTAGGACTGTGGGTTGTGTTATGGTTGTCTAAACTATTTGACTAGGACTGTGGGTTGTGTTATGGTTGTCTAAACTATTTGACTAGGACTGTGTTATGGTTGTCTAAACTATTTGACTAGGACTGTGGGTTGTGTTATGGTTGTCTAAACTATTTGACTAGGACTGTGTTATGGTTGTCTAAACTATTTGACTAGGACTGTATGGGTTGTGTTATGGTTGTCTAAACTATTTGACTAGGACTGTGTTATGGTTGTCTAAACTATTTGACCAAGACTGTATGGGTTGTGTTATGGTTGTCTAAACTATTTGACCAAGACTGTATGGGTTGTGTTATGGTTGTCTAAACTATTTGACCAAGACTGTATGGGTTGTGTTATGGTTGTCTAAACTATTTGACTAGGACTGTATGGGTTGTGCCCTAACACCTGTATGGGTTGTGATGTGTCCCAGATGATTGTCCTATCACTGATATTAAAAGTGCCTTAGAAGTTTGCTGTTAATATGTATATAAATTGTATAAATCTAGACCAAAGGTCATTTGGAAAATGTATATAGATTTTATAAAAAGGGACCAAATGTCTACTTTTGACAAAAAATAAAATTGTAAAATAAGATTGTTTAATTGTCCTTATTTAAAGCAAGTAAGTTTTATTTGCCTTTAAAGATCAGCATAATAGAGGAGCAACAAATGATCACTAACAAAATGTGTTTCCACTGTAGTGAGATTCCTTTACACAAGTGCTGACAGATCCCACACTGGTTTGAATTACTTGTAATTAATGCAATAGATCTAGTTGCAAAGACTAAGCCTGAGTAATTAATTAACCTCTATAACCAGTTAACTCAATGCTTTAATCTAAACGATTTGCACAGATAGCAGTAATGTAATGTCATATCTACAGAATAAAATACCAATGGCCATCAACTTGAGTGTTGGATGTACTCAAGTTTAACCAAACTGATGACCCATCCTCAATGTTAATGGGTAGAGAGATCCCATTTGGTGGGAATGTGGGCTTTGATCTTTACATTGACCAGCTGTTCAATGTATGCCAGCTAACACACGCAAATGATCCTACTTGACACAGTAAACAATCTGGGCGTAGCCTAGTCTGGAAATAACACACTGTGATTACATGCTCTAACTGCTTCATTTAACAAATCTGGACAATGCTATTTTGAAACCTTGAATTATGTACCTGTAAATACTTCATGTAGGTAGTCCAAACTGGCGAAAAAGTACGTTTTGGGGTGATTTTTAGCGGTTTTCAAAAAAAATAATTCACTACTTCTAGTTGTGCTATAAGAATAAAAATTAAATGTCAATTAAGTTTAAGTCTTTATCTGTCGAAATCTGGTATTTTTATATCTGTAACACATGTGTTTTATATTTGTTTGAAAAGTATCAGTTACGTCAACAAATTTCACCGATTTGCAAGTACCGATCGACCCCACACTGTTTCATTTGGTCGTGACTAAGCATCGTAGAAGCATAATCTTAATGTCATTTCAAAGAGCAAATTCTAGCCTATCGTTTGATGAATAAATTGGAAAAATAACCTGTTTTCTTCATTTAAAAAAATAAGTTTTTAAACTTTAAATGACGATTAGTCGACTTTCAGCCCGGAGTGAGTAGCTCGCTGAACGGTTTTAAAGGTTGACGACCGATGATGCTAATACTAATATAAATATTTAATAAACTAGTAATAAACTAAACGGATTTTACTATTTTACCCTTGCTAGAGCCTTCAAACAAGTTGTAAGTACCATTTTTAAAGTTTCATTTCCATTTTAATAAATAAATTTTAAGTTTGAATGTCAGTTTGGTTAAATTAGTACAAGTTATTAATGTAAATTTGAACGATAGTCCACGGTTTTAGTGTGAAAGTGTGTGAACTACGCTTGTACACATGATGACCGATGTGTTTAGACGTGAAGCTATTTATTAACTATTTAATTCAGGACATTCTAGGGACTTAAAATATGGATGCACTTAAGTGACTTAACTATTAGATGCTATTGTAAGTATTGTTATTTAGATCTAGATTCTAATTCTTTAAAATCTATCGAATGGGATTAATGATAGGGTCGTATTACTAAAGTTAAAAGTTTATCTGGACCATCACGTCAAAATTATCAATCGACAAATTCAAAATGGCCACCAGACAATCCTGGTTATTATGTGGACGGAGTCAATTATTTACAGGGAACGAAGGTTAAAAACTTATAACTTTCACAAAAGAAATTTATAATTATGATAACTATTTTTGTAAATAGATTTGTATTCATTTATTTAAAACTAAAGGCACTAAATTTTTAAGGACTAATGTAATTCATTTTTTATTTTCTGTTGTGCACTCAGATTCTGATTCCCCTGCTGAATAATGTGAAATGGTCTGCGCCAGTCTCCTTAATAAAATGTACCAGATCAATTTTTAAATGGTGGTGCAATTTATGAAGATTGTACATGTGACTTAGTTTTAAATGTTATATTAGTTGTAAGTGTAAGTAGTACTAGTAATGTTTCTCATTATTTATTTTATATGCATAAAGTAACAATGAAGGACAGTTAAGTTGTCCAATAGGATGTTGAGAACCACAGTATGGCACCTTCATCATTAGATATCTCAACCAGTGTGGCACAAGGAACGAATATTTCATTCAGTAGACCTACTACCACTATAAGAATATACTATCAAGTATGAATTATTTTTAACGAAAAGGTGTTTTCAGGCTTTTTCATGTTTCCAGCTATAGATATAGGACAAATAGTAGGCCTGGCCTACACAATAGGCTAGTAGTAAATTGAATTATATTTTATTAATCACTAAATCAATTGTTTATTCCACAGCTGGAGACATTTATGATGGCTTATCCAGAACTTTCCTTACAAGGGAAGGGAAGAAGGCCACACCCCCCCCCCAGTTCCCAAAACATATCGATTACTTTTGATGCCCCACAAGATCAAGGTTTAGGGAAACAAGACTTACAAAGTCAAAAATGGCACTTTTTGAAAATAACTTTTTTACTAAATTTTGCCTTTTTAAAAATTGCATAACTTTTATTTTTTGAGATATTTTTATAAAATTTGTGTCATAGAGCTTACAATTAAAAGTTCTTTCAGAAAATACTCACTACAGAAGTCTGCAATCAATACTTAATTTCAGTTTGGACTACCTATTTCATGTATTTTATCTTTATCATTGGTTATCTCAAAGCAATTAGGCAAACCACTACAGGTCTAACTCTAATACATTTTAATACTGTCACTGCTAAGACATTACTTAAGAACAAATCCATTCATCATGGCAGTCAGTTGTCTAACCAATTGTTTCAAACATTTCTACACAAGTTTGTGGCTCTACACAGTCCACCTGCTGTTGAGTAAGGGAGACAACCAACAGTTTCAAACATTTCTACACAAGTTTGTGGCTCTACACAGTCCACCTGCTGTTGAGTAAGGGAGATAACCAATTGTTTCAAACATTTCTACACAAGTTTGTGGCTCTACACAGTCCACCTGCTGTTGAGTAAGGGAGACAACCAACTGTTTCAAACATTTCTACACAAGTTTGTGGCTCTACACAGTCCACCTGCTGTTGAGTAAGGGAGACAACCAACTGTTTCAAACATTTCTACACAAGTTTGTGGCTCTACACAGTCCACCTGCTGTTGAGTAAGGGAGACAACCAACTGTTTCAAACATTTCTACACAAGTTTGTGGCTCTACACAGTCCACCTGCTGTTGAGTAAGGGAGACAACCAACTGTTTCAAACATTTCTACTATTGCTTTTCCAGTCAAATGTTTCCATAATTTCTGAATATTCTAGATACTTCTGACACAATGAAAACATAGATATCAACTAAGTTAAGTATTAAATAAAAAAGAACTCTTATCACTATGCATTTAAAAAAATCATTTATCAAGTAATAGAAGTACAATTTCATCAAACAATACAACAATAGTTGACACATAATGGAAGGTTTCCTAATCAAAGGAGATCTTTTAAAGGTTTCTTATAAACAACAATACTAAAAGCAGTCTTTAAAAGATACATTAAATGTACTTTTGTAAAAGCTGACAAAGTCCAAACAACTGTAAAGAATTCTGTTCTACAAGACAGCTCATGTAGAGCTCAGGTGGTGGGACTTGGGTTCTAACAAAACTCAGTTTTTTTTTATTACAGTCAACAGTGAACTTTGGAAAAATAGAGACCTTTACTTCAAGGCACAATATGTCATGAGGTTACACACTCTCAAAAATATCACAATGTTCGTTAATTAAAGCCACGCACATAACAGATAATCCTTTAGAATAATGGAATATTACAAATTTTCTTCCATCTGTCCAATTTAGTTAGTTCCTATCAAAATGAATAGTTTAGATAGGTCCTAACAAAAAAACTGATGCCATATTGCAGCTCTGAAATATTAGTGTCTATACATATATTACGGGTCGATTCTACTCACATTTTTTGTGTGTAAAACTTCTCTGCTACAATCACATTTGTTATGATAAAATAGCTAACTCAAGTGAGAATATTAAACCTAATATTCAACTCATAAAATGAATACTGAAGATTTGAAGTCTCTAATTTCAAAAGCCAAGACCAAATTTCTTAATGACTAGTCAAAGATTTTCTACCAACATAATGATCAGTGGCGTAGCAAGGTCGGGTGTCACCCGGTGCGGCACTTAATGGTGTCACCCCCCCCCCCCCCACCCCAGAGGCATAGAGACCCTTCCCAGGGACAAGCTTTCAAACATTCGATTTGCACCCCCCCCCCCGAGTTTTTCTCTATATATTTTGCTATTTTTTGCCTTGGTGTCACCCCCCTAAATGGTGTCACCCGGAGCGGCCTGCACCCCCCGCCCCCCCCCCCCCCCTCGCTACGCCCCTGATAATGATCCACTCTGGTAGATTTTCTACCAACATAATGATCCACTCTGGCAGAGCTAAAGCTAGCTGGGCATTATTTCTCTAAGTTGAATGGCTTGAGACTGTAGAGATATATCTGCTGATGTCATACCACTTGGATTTCGTTGCTCTATCTGACCATTACGTTGATGTCCATATTCAAATTTGATGCGGAGCTCACCTATATGACATCGAGGCAAAATGTCAGGAATCCATTCAATAATAAAGGGTGTGGATTCTTTCTGCTCATTCGATGGGCCTGGTAAAGGAATAGATCAATAGATGTGAATTCATCAATAGTTTCATCAACAGAAATGGGTTGAAAATTGTAAGAGAAAGGCAAATGTCTGCAATCAAAACTAGAAGAGAATAAATGAGGCCCCTATCATTCATTTAATGAAAAGAGTAGTCAAGAATGGTTTTTATATTTCTCCCATTGAAGCTAAAGGAACAAAATCTAACTTGCTCCATTAATATTGTATTAAAAAACTATGTCTGTGCTCCACAAACTCAACCATAAGGCACTGAGTGGAATAGCCGGTTTGTTGTTTTGTTTTACAATCATTTGCTATTATTGGGGTGCATTTCAGAAGCAAGTACAAACTAATATAACTTTAACTAAACAGTACAGACTAGTCTACTTACGTACCAACTTTCAAATATGTTTTCAATTCAAAAGGCCGAATTGGTGTGTGATTTTTTAATTTAGTTTCATTGAACGCATCAGCTCTTGGCGCTTCATAAGGATCATAAGTACCATCTCTATTTTCTACAAAACTACGAGTGAGATCCAGTGTTATCTGAGGGCAATGAGAAACAAAGAGACCAATAAAAATAGGTTCAAGCAATGGATCTGGCAATTGTAAAATGATTTTTTCCAGTTTTAAGACATCAAACCACTAGACTTCCATTATTAACCAATACAAAAACATTTTCATTTTGTCTAAGTCTTATTCTCAAAAACATTTTTTAAAATATAATCACCAGAAATAAAAAATGATTAAATAATGTATGCAGATCTGTTTTGAAATCAAAGTTTTGAATGACTATTGAATCAGGAACAACATTATTTTTGTTATCAATTTTTCAGTCAGTCAGTAATTCCCATAAATGTTTTTTGCTTTTATTCACATAACTAAGTGGTTATGATTTTTTAAAATAGCTTTTTGTTCTTTAAATCCTGTTTAGTTACATAACTTACAAACCACATTACATTTTTAGCTAGTTGAATAATCAATAGCATTAAAAAATGTAAGTTAATCGAACAAATCAAGTCAACTGTCTTATATTTGTGCAAAGGTGACAAAAAATATTAAAATGATCTCATATAATTTAATAACACTGCAATAAGTATGAATAATTTCTTTAGAAAGTGTTGGTGGTTTGATGTCAGTGAGGAACAACCAAGTGAAGGCTACCCATGATACAACGGTCAGTGAAGGCTACCCATGATACCCAGTGAAGGCTACCCATGATACAATGGCCAGTGAAGGCTACCCATGATACAATGGCCAGTGAAGGCTACCCATGATACAATGGCCAGTGAAGGCTACCCATGATACCCAGTGAAGGCTACCCATGATACAATGGCCAGTGAAGGCTACCCATGATACAATGACCAGTGAAGGCTACCCATGATACCCAGTGAAGGCTACCCATGATACAATGGCCAGTGAAGGCTACCCATGATACCCAGTGAAGGCTACCCATGATACCCATTGAAGGCTACCCATGATACCCAGTGAAGGCTACCCATGATACCCAGTGAAGGCTACCCATGATACCCAGTGAAGGCTACCCATGATACCCAGTGAAGGCTACCCATGATACCCAGTGAAGGCTACCCTTGATACAATAAATTGAAAACTGGCATTAAACAAATGTAACACTTGCGCAGCATTTAAACTTACGCCATGTATACTAATCATATCTAGGAAAAAACTCCAGCAAGTTAATATTATATGAAAACATTTTTCCCAGCAGAACATGTATACTAACTTGCAGCAAGTTCTTTTTTCTAGATGTGTTTAGTATACATGTCGCAAGTGTAAACACGGCATTATGATGCAATACCAAAACAAGAAATCTCTTCAACTTGCCTCCTGGGAATCAAAGATTTGTTTGACTTGTGCAATGTTTGTAATATGCCATGTATATTTTGTAAAAGTTCCCAGTGGTAATGCTTCTTTTCTAACAAAACCTGTGGTGAAATTGGGCAACCGTTTTTTTCTAGTCCCAGCTGAAATCCTTTGTTGCAAGCAGTCAAAAAACACTTGCGGGGCATGAAAAACTAGGGGATCAGGTGTACCTGTGTGAATAAAACCAACATATGGCTGTTATGTCATAATAAAACAAAGATTGAGATGTTATGTCATCATAATAAAACCAACATTAGGTTGTTATGTCATCAAAATAAAACCAACATTGGGCTGTTATGTCATCATAATAAAACCAACATTGGGCTGTTATGTCATCATAATAAAACCAACATTGAGCTGTAATGTCATCATAATAAAACCAACATTGGGTTGTAAGTGTTATGTCATCATAATAAAACCAACATTGGGTTGTTATGTCATCATAATAAAACCAACATTGGGCTGTTATGTCATCATAATAAATCTAATATTGGGCTGTTATGTCATCATAATAAAACCAACATTGAGCTGTTATGTCATCATAATAAATCTAATATTGGGCTGTTATGTCATCATAATAAAACCAACATTGGGCTGTTATGTCATCATAATAAAACCAACATTGGGATGTTATGTCATCATAATAAAACCAACATTGGGCTGTTATGTCATCATAATAAAACCAACATTGGGATGTTATGTCATCATAATAAAACCAACATTGGGCTGTTATGTCATCATAATAAAACCAATATTGGGCTGTTATGTCATCATAATAAAACCAACATTGGGTTGTAAGTGTTATGTCATCATAATAAAACCAACATTGAGCGGTTATGTCATCATAATAAAACCAACATTGGGATGTTATGTCATCATAATAAAACCAACATTGGGATGTTATGTCATCATAATAAAACCAACATTGAGCTGTTATGTCATCATAATAAAACCAACATTGGGATGTTATGTCATCATAATAAAACCAACATTGGGCTGTTATGTGCCATCATTTCTCTGCACCTGTTTCAACAGGTTTAAAAACAAAATTCAAATTGCTTACATATAAATCTAGAGTTTGTTTTGTACTTACTCATCCACCCTACCCACCCACCCACTCAAACTTTTTTCTGCTATATATTAGTACTCACAGTACTCACTATTTCAGTATCTAGTAGATCTACTATTAAGTATTTAGATCTAGAAATTAGCGTGTTTGTTAGTCATGATTTTATTGTATTTTTCTCCCTAATTGTTATTGGAAGCATAATTTAAATAGTGTAAGTAAACTAGGAAAGGGAAACATGTGCCAAGCGGAGATAATCGCTTTCCCCCGCCTTTTTTTCAATTCAATTTATTACTTTTCTTTATTAATTATTAAATCTTTCATGAAAACGGGACGGCGGAACAGGACACAATTATTTTGTAAAAAAGCAGAAGAATTACTTTTATTGCACACAGTAGTCCATTAATGACTTCACGTAAATTATGCTAACTGTACCCCAGCCCATATTGTCATTATTAATAGTCTGACAGCCACACCATGAAGGACATTAAAAAGTTCCGTCCAAAGCCCCAATTATCCCTCACCCTGACAAAAAATATTTTTTAACGATTGCCTGCAACCTCTGACCAATTGATCCAACGTGACAAATAGTTTGGGGTCAAATTGAGAAGTGTCCATGCACAATCACTCAATAAATAACAATTTTAAATAGTTGTAGCATAACCTGATCATAGAAAGTTTACATGCCGTAGAATAACTAACAATTTCCCATTCCCCTCATCCAAAAAAGTAATAACTGAGCAAACAGGATCATATTGTAAAAAGTGGATTTCAGTGGCAAAAATGGAATAGTTAAGTATCTAATAAAACTGATTTGTATGTTAGCCTATAGCACATTCCAGATTTTCAGTAATGTCTTTAGCTATTAATTTTCTTTATGATAATGAATGCAGGCATTAGCAAATTTTCCTGTTTTTTTTCTGGTTTACTCTCAAAGTTAATGGTTCCAGATCTAGATCCACCACTAGACTGCCCTGTGAGGTCACAGCAAGTTCAGACAGGCCCACAAGAAAATCTCAGGTCGCACTGACCAAAATGTCGGTGTGATGTCAGGTAGACAAAGGCAAGTATCGGTCAAAGGTGCATTTATAAAATATTTGTTTAGTCCTGCAAATTTGTACCCTGCTAAAAATTATTGTCTACTTGATAAAGACTACTACATTTAAATTTTAAATCTTATACTAATCTGATTATCTGTTAATCAAGTTTCCAGTGTCAGCTAAGAAAACTGGCGGCGTAGTAATGATGATAATTCTAGGTTAACACAGCAGTGGATATTGTACCATCTACAAATGGGCGACTGCCAGGAAGTCCATAAATGGTAAAAATGCTATTGAGTCTTGATGATAAATACAATTTCTTGAATGACAAAATTTTCAAGTTTAAAATGTTCTTAGTTGTTTTTTTTCATACTACAAACCCAGAAATTTAAAAACTCCAATCATGCAAATCCAGAAAGTGAAAAAAGTATTAGATTCTCAAATGAGTAAATATGGGATATCTGAGAAAGGTGGCACCCCTGGATGTTCTACTAAAGCTGAGTCCCTGAGATGTGTTGATAGTTTGTCTTGTCACATGCTGTTGGAGACTTACCAGAGAAACCATAGTGCATAGTCTGGTTGATTCTTTCTGTCACACTAGCCAACCACTGCTGGAAACTGACAGAGGCTGAGTACTCATCTATGGTTGCTGGATAGGCTGCAATAGACAAGAGAAGCATTTATTACACGCACTCAGTTCTCAAAATATTTGCTCATTTCACACTCACTCAGTTCTCAAAATATTTGCACATTTCACACTCACTCAGTTCTCAAAATATTTGCTCATTTCACACTCACTCAGGTCTCAAAATATTTGCTCATTTCACACTCACTCAGGTCTCAAAATATTTGCTCATTTCACACTCACTCAGTTCTCAAAATATTTGCTCATTTCACACTCACTCAGGTCTCAAAATATTTGCTCACATCTCACTGACTCAGTTCTCAAAATATTTGCACATTTCACACTCACTCAGTTCTCAAAATATTTGCTCATTTCACACTCACTCAGGTCTCAAAATATTTGCTCACATCTCACTGACTCAGTTCTCAAAATATTTGCTCATTTCACACTCACTCAGTTCTCAAAATATTTGCACATTTCACACTCACTCAGTTCTCAAAATATTTGCTCATTTCACACTCACTCAGGTCTCAAAATATTTGCTCATTTCACACTCACTCAGGTCTCAAAATATTTGCTCATTTCACACTCACTCAGGTCTCAAAATATTTGCTCATTTCACACTCACTCAGTTCTCAAAATATTTGCTCATTTCACACTCACTCAGGTCTCAAAATATTTGCTCACATCTCACTGACTCAGTTCTCAAAATATTTTCTCATTTCACACTCACTCAGTTCTCAAAATATTTGCTCATTTCACACTGACTCCGTTCTCAAAATATTTGCTCATTTCACACTCACTCAGTTCTCAAAATATTTGCTCATTTCACACTCACTCAGTTCTCAAAATATTTGCTCATTTCACACTCACTCAGGTCTCAAAATATTTGCTCATTTCACACTCACTCAGGTCTCAAAATATTTGCTCATTTCACACTCACTCAGTTCTCAAAATATTTGCTCATTTCACACTCACTCAGGTCTCAAAATATTTGCTCACATCTCACTGACTAAGTTCTCAAAATATTTGCTCATTTCACACTCACTCAGTTCTCAAAATATTTGCTCATTTCACACTCACTCAGGTCTCAAAATATTTGCTCATTTCACACTCACTCAGGTCTCAAAATATTTTCTCATTTCTCTAACTCCGTTCTCAAAATATTTTCTCATTTCACACTCACTCAGTTCTCAAAATATTTGCTCATTTCACACTCACTCAGGTCTCAAAATATTTGCTCATTTCACACTCACTCAGTTCTCAAAATATTTGCTCATTTCACACTCACTCAGGTCTCAAAATATTTGCTCACATCTCACTGACTCAGTTCTCAAAATATTTGCTCATTTCACACTCACTCAGTTCTCAAAATATTTGCTCACATCTCACTGACTCAGTTCTCAAAATATTTGCTCATTTCACACTCACTCAGGTCTCAAAATATTTGCTCATTTCACACTCACTCAGGTCTCAAAATATTTTCTCATTTCTCTAACTCCGTTCTCAAAATATTTTCTCATTTCACACTCACTCAGTTCTCAAAATATTTGCTCATTTCACACTCACTCAGGTCTCAAAATATTTGCTCACATCTCACTGACTCAGTTCTCAAAATATTTGCTCATTTCACACTCACTCAGGTCTCAAAATATTTGCTCATTTCACACTCACTCCGTTCTCAAAATATTTGCTCATTTCACACTCACTCAGGTCTCAAAATATTTGCTCATTTCACACTCACTCCGTTCTCAAAATATTTGCTCATTTCACACTCACTCCGTTCTCAAAATATTTGCTCATTTCACACTCACTCAGTTCTCAAAATATTTGCACATTTCACTCACTCAGTTCTCAAAATATTTGCTCATTTCACACTCACTCAGTTCTCAAAATATTTGCTCATTTCACACTCACTCAGGTCTCAAAATATTTGCTCACATCTCACTGACTCAGTTCTCAAAATATTTGCTCATTTCACACTCACTCAGTTCTCAAAATATTTGCTCATTTCACACTCACTCAGGTCTCAAAATATTTGCTCATTTCACACTCACTCAGGTCTCAAAATATTTTCTCATTTCACACTCACTCAGGTCTCAAAATATTTGCTCATTTCACACTCACTCAGTTCTCAAAATATTTGCTCATTTCACACTCACTCAGTTCTCAAAATATTTGCTCATTTCACACTCACTCAGTTCTCAAAATATTTGCTCATTTCTCATTTCTTTCAATCATTTTAACAAATAACAGTTGAGACACAAATTGCTTGATCAAGTAGTCAGACATTAGCAGCAAAGATCTCACCCATTCTTTTGGGGGCTTGATACTTAGTTGTCTGCTGCTGAAACTGAAACTGTACTGCGTGGGTTGTTTCCTTCACTGGACTGGCTTGTTGGGCAGAGAACAAACTCACTGGTAATGGCTGTTTTTGTTCTTGTAATGTCAGAAGTGCACTGCTTGCTTGGGCTACAAGAACCAATGTTCAAAATTCAACCGTTATTTCAAAAAGCAGAAATAATAATATTGATACAAGAGTATAATAAGGCTTTCTAATTAACTTTCATACTGCAACCTTGTCTAACCAGGTTTAATCTAAAGGCATACCAATGGAGTCTTCTTTTTTCAACTTTTTATCTGGCGCTGGTACCAGTAAATCCTCCTCTGATTTAATAACTTCTATGGCATCTGTATCAGCAGTGACTGTAAGGGTATCTTCCACTTGTTGGTACATGGCTAGCACTTGATGCTCTGGGCTAAGAGTTGCTACTAGAAAAAACAAAATCACACTTAAAAGTTCTGAATCAAACTTAAATTACTTATAAATAGGGAGAATATGACAAGTATATAACTAAAATGAAATAATACAAGAATACATACCTTGATCTAAATTTATATAATGTGAAAATTCTTCCATCAATTTTTCATCACTAGCAAAAGCACAAATGCAGGCATAAAAATGCACACAACGCTTAGATACATCTTCTCTTGCTGGTGAATTTCTAACCTTTAATTGGAACAATTTTAGAATATTTTAATTGCTTATATTACAGAAATACATTATCTAGTTAATAAAGTTTACAATTAAGTAACAGGAAATAAGATGTTTTTCTTATATTGGGTGGTGTTTTTGCAGGCAAAGAAGATTTGAGTGAGCATTGAATGAATGAAAGAGGACTGATAGACCAACACAAAGTCTCTCAGACATGTAGCCTTGCTAAAGAAAGGATCAATTCTTGATATGATCACTACTGAAACTCTGAAATCTTGGTTTAGTGAGTGCAATCTATTAAAAAAATATATTAAAATTCAAAACAAAAAGAGATATTAGATCACATGAATGTAACAAAAAATATCTTTGATGCCATGAATGTGAAGAGAATTGAATGAGGAGATTATATAGAGAATTGAGTGAGGAGATTATATAGAGAATTGAGTGAGGAGATTAAATGGAGAATTGAGTGAGGAGATTATATAAAATAAATTAGTGAGGAGATTATATAGAGAATTGAGTGAGGAGATTATATAAAAAAAATAGTGAGGAGATTATATAGAGAATTGAGTGAGGAGATTATATAGAGAATTGAGTGAGGAGATTATATAGAGAATTGAGTGAGGAAATTATATAGAGAATTGAGTGAGGAGATTTATATAGAGAATTGAGTGAGGAGATTATATAGAGAATTGAGTGAGATTATATTCACCTTAAATGCTCTACATGTGCACTGGAACTTATAGTAGGGATGTTGTCTATTCCGCATTGTTTCAAAGAAAGCACAATGTAAAAATCCTAAAGGCTGTTTAGCAGTCACTTTACATTTGACTACCATGATATTTTTGGTCACCCTTTGTACAACAGGCCCTGATGTTTCTGTGGCTAGGAGCCATATAGCTTGTCTCATTTCATTAGATACCTGTAAACTGTTTAATATTGAATTCTTTAAACCTATAGGTTGTGCTTGCTGAGTGCATTCTATTGCTGAGCGAATATGAACACATGTCTCCATTCCCATTTTCAAATTGGTACTAGAATCAGGGGTTTCGTGTCGATTACAACTCTCAACGTAACACATTGATGTGGCTATAAGGAGACTGGTGTCATATACAGTGGCCGGGTTCCCGTCTACATCTTGTATATATGGGAGTTGAACAAAGCCTCTGTAATCAGGCCCACGGTCTCTCAAGCGCACAGAAAACAGCTGGTAATTTGAACCAGTTAAAATCTTCACTGACTCAGCACTATGGCCTTTTTTCCTTTCCCTTTCTTTAAACACAACGTCACAGTCTTTATTCTTGCAGCTGATTCCGCGTGTACCATTGAAAGTTCCACATTTAGGACACTTGCGAACTCCTCGAAGGGTTGGTTTACCTAAGTCTCCAAATGGATGTTTTCGCTTGTCAACTCCAGCACTTGGTTGAGTATTAGCCATTGACTCAATTAGGACAGCTTCAAAACTCTATACAATGATCAGAATCAAAGTGAAAGGAATATTAAAATGTTGCCAGCACATTTGATTCATCAAAACACATTTAAATTTCAAATGATTCAATTATAATCAATGTGGATGATACAAGAAGAGTTTTCAAGTGATGTGTGGACATATTTTGATGTAGTTTTCCTGTATTTACAGTCTATCACATGGATGATAAGCAGTATTTAGGAATATTAAGATCAATGTGAGCACATTTTAAAAAACAGTATTTATAAATACTAAGATATTTTACTTGATATTTCTATTTTACTTGATATTTCTATTTACTTGATATTTCTATTTACTTGATATTTCTATTTACTTGATATTTCTATTTTGCTTGATATTTCTATTTACTTGATATTTCTATTTTGCTTGATATTTCTATTTACTTGATATTTCTATTTACTTGATATTTCTATTTTACTTGATATTTCTATTTTACTTGATATTTCTATTTTACTTGATATTTCTATTTTACTTGATATTTCTAAGCTGCTATTAGAACCAGGGCCCTTGTGGCCATGGATGCTTTTTGGACCCGGCATTAAGTTTGGTCACTCTCATAACCCATTTTCAAATGTATAACTTTCATGTTTATTTGAATTGTCTTGCTAGTATTTTGTTGGTGTTTTTTGTGAGCTAAATAGCCCTGTGGATTTGCTAGTACTAAGACCTATGATTTCAAAATAACCAAAGTTTCAACCATAACAAAATAAATATTAATAACAAAAGTATTAAATATTGCCCATTTAATGTGAGGCATTACAGCCAGGTGGAGAACCCTGTGCCTATTAAAACCTGAAGTTACAGATTTGCAACCCAACTGCACTGGAAATTTTGTATTTTTACCAGGAAAAACCAGAAGAATGTGTTGTGCAAGATGAAAATTTTTCAACTAAATGTTTTTTTAAAAAATATCATTTCTAGATTTAGATTTTTAAACATGCCAATTCAAAACATCATTGCTCCAATGATCTGCGCTCGACATTGCTTGTCAGTGGAAGAAAAATGCTGACATGGTTTATATGCCAGGTCCTAGTAGATTAGATCTAATGGCAGCTGTGGTTAAAAAAAAGGGTAGACCTGGATTCTAGATATAGACAGCTAGTAGAGAACACATAGCGAACACACATAGTGAAAAAAATCAGAAGTCCTGATTTCAATTGTAGCTATTTGACTTAGAAAAAAGAAATGTATAGTAATACTCCGCAACTATTCTACTGTAATAATATGTTTCATTTTGTATTCCTATGCATAGAATTTAAGATATTCTTGTTTTAATAGCTTACATGCTAGGAATGCTTTTTTTTTTTCCAAATTTTTACAAGTTAGCCAACACCTGTACTTTGCTTGCAAACACAGAAAATTAAGTTTATTTACAATAATTTAAAGCTTATTGAATGAATAAATATATACATTATATGCATTTAGATAGTGTTATTCGTTGTTGTACAGTAATTTAATAATTAAAATTTATTTTTTTGGGTTTAAATAATTAAACATTTCGCAAATCACATCAGAATTGTATCTTAAAAAATATTTTATAGCATTATCCAACAAGATCAATCACCTAGCGTCACGTTACCACATACTCCGCTGTGCAGAACAATGTGTTGATAACCACTACAGAGCGTTTCAGTCAGATGGCGGCTGATGTGTTAATTTTTTATTTTCATTTCATTTTAGAATGTATGGATGGCTTTATTAGGAGGTAATTTAAATAAACGTCGTGATTTCAGGAATACAGCTCAGGGTCCAAATTTAATAGGTCCATTAATAGACCAGGAAACTTAGTTCAACTTTGCGGTATGATATCTCCAAAGGTATTTAACTTATTTTGACAATGAAATATATATATATATATATATATATATATATATATATATATATATATATATATATATATATATATATATATATGTATATATATGTGACTAGGGTAGGCCTAGCCACTAGTTACAAATCTGATAACGAACGAGAAGCCGAGACGCAGTATGAAATCTGATGCAACTATAACAGGTGGCTTATTGGATCGGTCTGATAACAACCTCAAAGCCAACGCGTGCTATTTTGGGAAACGGTACGAGAAGTTTCAGACGAGCTGTCAACTTTGATGGATGGGATGCAGATGTGTTAGTAAATCGGACGGTACGTCAGAAACTGCGACATTAGTATTCGGATACATCGATTACAAGTATCGATTACGGAGGAATACAAGTACGGAGACGAGTACGGATACAAGGCATAAATAGGAGGGGACGACTGAACTCGTTCTCTCTCTTCCGTCGTCGTCGCTTGCTTTAGATCAGTCAGTCTGTGTGACATACTCAAGTTGGTTATATTGTGTTAAGAAGGACAATAGACATGTGGATTCAGTTATATGAAGCCTAGTGAGGACTGTTAGGGGGTCAGTTGATTCAGACTATTATTGTGAAACATTTCTGTTGATTCATTGTGTTATATTGAAGCATTTCTTGATTCATGTAATAAAAGGATCAATAGCGAACCTGCATCTTCGAGTCTTTCTACTGTGGTCGATGTTGTGTAGCATGAGTGGTTCAACTCGTTACAATTGGCGTTGTCGGGCAGGATAGACTCGGGGAAGGTCACATTGGGCGTTGCGAACAGGAAAGATGCAACTAGCCTAGGTCACATTTGGCGCTGCGAGCAGGATGAATTCAACTAGACTTGCCGATTTAGGCACCCATAGTCAACCTTGTGCATAACTGTGTTTTGTGTGTATGTGAATTCGGACATTCAGGAACTGTGAAAATTGAGGAACGAGGAAAATTTTTTCATACACACACGGTAAGAAAGAACTCTTTTGTTTTACTTACGGGATAAAATGTCTACTCTGGACGAGAAGCAGACCCATATAGTGGTCCTACCCAGAGAGTCCCACATTAACAAATTTTACGGGGACGGTGATCCCACTTTAACCAACAGGTTCAGTGAAGAGGTCAAAGCGGCCTGGGCCTCGAGAGGCATGTCACCAGAGGAAAGATTAAGACTGCTGATGGGCAGCATAGGAGAGACGGTTAGGGCAGAGGTCAAATGCCTTGATAAAACCATCCAATCAGATCCGGATAAGGTGCTGGATCTGATTATGGAGACCTTTGGGGAGAGACGGTCGGGATCGCAACTGCTGGCAGGGTTCGTAGGCTTAAGGCAGAGAATGGCGGAGAGTGTGATGGAGTACTCACACCGGATGAACAGTGCCTTTGATTCGGTAAAGGTCAAAACACCGGACATTGATGTACGCCTACTGAGGGACCATTTCATTGAGGGGCTGGCAACCCCGATCCTAAGAAGAGAGTTGAAAGTGGAGGTCCACAAAGAACCGCAGTTGACCTTCCTTCAGGTCAGGAACTCAGCGATCCGCAGGTCCGAGGATGAGGACCAATCGAACTGTTCGGTGGACAAAGTTTCTGTACCTGAACAGAGACAATCCCCACCCACAGGGGCCGACACGATGGAGACCATGATGGCTCAACTGTTGGCCCACCTAGATAAGGTTGACCAACGTTTGGAGAGGTTAGAAAGCAGGTCAACAGCTGAGAATCAGGAAAAGAACGGGACAAAACAGGGACGGGTTGGACGGCCGCGTCCTGCCAAGCCATCACTCCAATGGACGGCCGACGGTCGACCAATTTGTTTGTCTTGTTCACAACCCGGACATATGGCACGGTACTGCCAGGGAAACGGTCGTCCTCTGTAAGGCAGGGCCAGGCTACAGAGGGGCGAGGGTATGGCCCAAGAAGCAAATTGATGGGAGTCTGTCCCGAAATGGTGATTAAGATTGGGGACATCGCGGTGAAGGCAATTGTGGATACAGGCTCCCAGGTGACGACAATCACGGAAAATTTTTACACCAAATGGATGAAAGGAAAAGACCATAGGTTGAGGTCTGACACATGCATGCGCCTGACGGCAGCTAATGGACTAACCATTCCATACTGTGGTTATTTTCTGGCGGATGTCGTGGTGGCAGGACATAGGTTGAAGCAGGTTGGGGTGTTCGTTACGAAACACAACCTAGAGACAAATGTGTCAAATATACCTTGCCTGTTGGGCATGAATATTCTTGGCCAGTTGCCAGAATTTCTTACAAATATTGTCGGATCGACCACACCAGGTCGGGGATCCAAGTTGGCCAGGTTTGCCAAGACCAGAGGAAGGACAGCAGTCCCGGCAAACACGGTCAAGGCAATCACATTACAAATTGGTGATAGAAGCGTGAATGGTGATGTGATGATAGAACCATGTGGCGCCGCACTGAGGGCAGGCGTCGTGTTACTGCGGACATACACATCAGCGGAAAATGGACTAGTTCAAGGATTAGTGGCAAATGTTTTGGATGAAGAAATTTTTATACCACCTAATACTCTGGTAGGAGTACCACAGAACGTCGAGGTACTAAGGTCGGCACAGTGTATCGAACTGAGCAATACCAGCAGTAATGAAGTAACAATTAGGTCGGTCAATGTGACGGCCGAGGTGAAGAAACAGGATGGCCGATCATATACATTCCCGGAAACTGAGGACCCAAAACTAAATGAATTGCTGAATAAATACAGTGATATATTTGCCTCGTATGAGGGTGATTTGGGGTACACGGAAGTAATCAAACACCAGATACCCTTACTACAAGACAAGCCGGTGGCGCAACCTTATCGAAGATTACCACCGAGTCACTACTCGGCGGTGAAAGCACACCTGAATGACCTACTAAAAAAGGGAATTATTACAACCAGTACGAGCCCGTATGCGGCACCGATAGTAGTGGTAAAAAAGAAGTCAGGGGAGATAAGACTGTGTTGTGATTACCGGAAATTGAACAATATCACAAGAAGGGATGCATTCCCCTTGCCTCGTATTGATGAATGTCTTGATGCGTTGGGGGGAGCAAGATTTTTTTCTACCTTGGATTTGGCTAGTGGCTACCACCAAGTGGCCATGCACCCCAACGATCAACATAAAAC